TCGCGCCCCCCCCCCCCCATAGGGGGACTATATGAGCGTAGGGGTATTCAGCACGCCCCTAGGCTAGATACCATGTAGTCCTAGATAGGCATGTAGAGGTAGCACCTCATAGAGAGATACCGACTATATTAGCTTGGCATAAGGAACCTCTGGGCGTTTAATGAAAGGACGATGAACCGGTGGAACCCAAGGGGCAAGCTCCAAGGGACTAAGATTAGAACCATATGTCCTATAACTGAATTAGGAAACTGTGGGAACCTATTAAATTAAGATGTGAAGAGAGCCTACAAGTAGGTGGCTTATTGAGTATAATTTTTATACTCATCCTTGCCTTGGGGGTGAAGCCGGATACCATGACCACGGAGCAGTGGAAGCTCAAGGATCAACAAGCCTTGGGGCTGATCCGGTTGACGCTATCCAGAAACGTGGCGTTCAACATTATCAAGGAGAAGACAACGTTAGAGGGGGTTGCGTCGGCCGGAAGCGTCGTTGAAACTCTAGAGGGGGTTGCGTCGCTAAAACTCTAGAGGGGGTTGTGTCGGTCGGAAGCATCTCTGAAACTCCAGAGGGGGTTGCGTCGGCCGGAAGCGTCGCTGAAACTCTAGAGGGGGTTGGTCAGATCTGTTGAAGACGCTGTCGAATATGTACGAAAAACCGTTGGCTATGAACAAGGTGTATTTGATACGGAGATTGTTATGAGATCTTGTGAGAACTGCGTTATGAGCAAACAGAAACAAGTTAGCTTCACAAAGACTGTTAGAGAATTGAAGAAAAGTACCGGAAGCGTCGCTGAAACTCTAGAGGGGGTTGTGTCGGCCGGAAGCGTCACTGAAACTCCAGAGGGGATTGCGTCGGCCGAAAGTGTCGCTGAAACACCAGAGGGGGTTGTGTCGGCCGAAAGCGTCGCTGAAACTCCAGAGGGGGTTGCATCGGTCGGAAGCGTCGCTGAAACTCCAGAGGGGGTTGCGTCGGCCGGAAGCGTCGCTGAAACACCAGAGGGGGTTGCGTCAGCTGGAAGCGTCGCTTAAACTCCAGAGGTGAAGCAAGTGGGAGTTGAGGTTGAGTTACTGAAAGATTCACATAGTGATGTTGTAGCAAATACTCATGAAACTCCTGAGACTGCTGCTGAGAAACCAGAGGTGAAGCAAGTGGGAGTTGAGGTTGAGTTGCTCAAAGATTCACATAGTGATGTTGCAGCAGATACTCATGAAACTCCTGAGACTGTTGCTGAGAAACCAGAGGTGAAGCAAGTGGGAGTTGAGGTTGAGTTGCTCAAAGATTCACAGAGTGATGTTGTAGCGGATACTCAAGAAACTCCTGAGACTCATGCTGTTGGCGAGGAACCCGGTCTATCATTCAAAACACAGAAGGCGATACCATTTCACTCGGAGGTTAGTTGAAGATGGTGACGTGTTTGGAGAAGATAGAGGGTGCAAAAAATCCAGCAAACATGTTGACAAAATGTGTTGATGTTGGAATATTGAGGTTGTGCAAAACCTCAATTGGTATGGTGCAGTGAAGATGCTCATGGTCGTTTGAGAGTGAAATTCTTGGTTGACTAGATCAGTCTCCAAGTGGGAGAATTGTTAGGTTATGGAATCTGATGCTTATTTATAGCTTGGTTAATGGTTATATCCGGTAAAGCTATATTTGGTAAAGCTATATCTGGTAAAGCTATAGTACCTAGGAGATGTGCTACGAATGAATTGTAACCATAGTTTCTTTTTCTATTGTGGTAGACAATGGCACCAAAGAGACGTGAACCATATGTAGGGCCCGGACCCAGAAGGGGAAAAAGAGAGGAAGTTCAGGACACCTTGGTTCTAACACTTGAAGAGGAACAACCTGAATTTCAGAAGGAGGTTAGGGATACGCCCCAAACTAGCGAGGGGACAGTACCACAGCCATCAAGAACAAAAAGACGCCGAAGGAAGGCCAAGGCCCGAAGGCTACTTGATACACCCCTTACGCTCCCTTCTTCGAGGAGGTCCCATCGGTCCAACCCCGTGTACAGCAGTCTCGCTAAATCAGTCGTTAGCCATGCCCACAGCAGAGATGTTCCAGACGTTCATGATGACCTCGATAGAAAATCAGGCTCTGACGAACCAAATGATACAAACCATGATGGCTAATCAGTCAACAGGGCAAGGGGGCAAAGATTCAGGGACTATGACTGTGGAGTCCCGCTACTTAAGAGATTTCCAGAGGCATAAATCGTCTTCCTTTGACGGAGGCAAAGTGGATCCCATTGCCGCTGAGAATTGGCTGGAAGCCATAGAAACGACCTTCCGTTTTAAGAACTGCCTGTTGACTCTGGCAATTCGAATGTCGACGAAAAATTGGCCGAAGGTTTCTTCGAAGGAAAATTTAGCGGAAGTAAAAGGAGAGAGAGTGAGAGATTCGCTGAGATTGCTGAAGACTCGATATTTTATTTTACTTCAGTTGAATGATTTAAATAACAAATCTAATTATAAAAATAGAAAAACCAAATATACAAAAATAGAATAAGTGGACGAAGACTTCGCCCACTTTGCCAAAACAATGGCCCCTAAAATCACGCTCCTCCATTCGCGTGAACTCAGATGTTTTTACAAACCTAACTAAATAAGGCAGGGCTTTTATTTAACACTGCCCGCCCAAGTATGAAGTCCATTGTGAGACGTATATGCTGAAAGGAGAGGCGCACTTCTGGTGGAAGGGTGCTCATAAGACCATTATACCACAAGGAGAGTTTATTACATGATGTCAGTTTAAAGATGCATATCTCCACAAATATTACCCAATCACTGCTAGAGTGAAAATGCAGATAGCATCCCTCACACTGAAACAGGAGACAGATTAGTGGAGGAATATGTAATAGCCCAAAAATAAATAAAGAAATAAAGAAATAAAAATAATTATTAAAAAAAATAGTTAAAATAATAAAATAATAAATAAATAAATAAAAATTAAAAGAAGAAAAACATTTGGTAACCAATCCCTCCTCCTTCCTTCATCTCTCACCACTCCTTCCCTAAAAATAAATCTGGCAACAAATCAGGAATCTCTTTTCTGTAAAAACAACTCTAGATTTACCTAGAATTCTTCCTTCCTACAAAAACAAAAAGAAATAGAAAACAAAAGGTTTAAGCAAACTAGCTCCATCGGAGGAGATATGTCATTTGAAGAGGTCAGTATGTTAAATCTTTCTTTTATTTTATTAAATAATATTAATTTGGTTACAATTATTTAGTTTTGAATTAGAGATTAAATGAAAAGAAGTCTGTATGAGTTTAGGAAATCAAAACCAATTATATTTTAGATCTACTAAATTGTTGCAATGATTTAGATCTACTGAATTGTTAGGTTGTAATTTTATATGAATTATAGGAAAAGAATATAACCAAATGAATCAATTAAATTAAAAACTAAGAAGATAATTGTTAACTAAATCAGAAAGAAGACAGAGGAAATAAGAAAAAA